ATCTTTCGTTCCAGATATTGAAATTAATAAAAAGGTATGCAATTTGATTGTGGACAATGGGAGTTGTGAGAATTTCGTAGCAATGAGACTAGTGGAGCATCTGAAATTGCCTGAAGAAAAACACCCGTTTCCTTATACTATAGGGTGGATTCAGAAAGGGCCCACGGTCAAAGTAACAGAAGTCTACCAGGTACCCCTCTCGATCGGAAAGAATTATGTCAGCAAAGTGGTATGCGATGTCGTTGACATAGACGCAAGTGACATTTTATTGGGGCGTCCTTGGCAATTTGACGTAAATATGGTGTACAACGGGCGAGAAAACTCCTGCAAGTTTGAATGGGGAGGCCGAAAAACGATCATGCTACCTAGGACAGAGACAGCGACTACTTCGGCCCGGGAAGTCGGGAAGGACCCCGTTTTTGTAGTGGCCCAAACTGAAGGTGAGTTTATGGAAGGTGTTGAAACAGCGACCGAGATACACGCCACCTTAGTAAAATTGTTGGGAATTCCGAAAGAAGAGGCGAGTTCGAAATCGACGGTGGTAGTACCGGAAAGTGTCCAGCCTTTATTGAAGGAGTTCGGAGAATTGGTAGCCGATGACTTGCCAAATTCGCTGCCACCTATGAGGGACATCCAACACCAGATTGACTTAGTGTCCGGTGCAAGCTTGCCGAACCTGCCCCTTTACCGCATGAGTCCACAAGAATGCGAGATACTACGAGAGAAGGTGGAAGAGTTGTTGGCAAAGGGCTTTATTAGAGAGAGCATGAGTCCGTGCGTTGTTCCGGTGTTGTTAGTGAAGAAGAAGGATGGCAGCTGGAGGATGTGTGTCGATAGTCGAGCGATAAATCGGATAACTATTAAATACCGATTTCCAATTCCACGACATGATGACATGTTGGATATGCTAGAGGGGTCGAAATTATTCTCGAAATTGATTTGAAGAGTGGTTACCACCCAATTCGAGTTAAACCCGGGGATGAGTGGAAAACGGCGTTCAAAACAAAAGATGGCTTGTACGAGTGGTTGGTGATGTCGTTCGGCCTGTCAAACGCACCCAGCACCTTCATGCGCGTGATGAACCAGGTACTACGACCCTTTATTGCAAAATTTGTTGTGGTTTATTTTGACGATATTTTGATTTACTGCCAGACTGAACCCGATCATTTGAGTCACTTGCGAGCGGTGCTAATCGTGCTAAGAGAAAATCAACTCTTTATAAATTTGAAGAAGTGTACGTTCGTGACCAGTCGCTTGGTATTTTTGGGATTCATTGTGGGGGCCGAAGGAATACATGTGGATGACGAGAAGGTGCGAGCTATTCGCGAGTGGCCAACGCCCGTGAACGTTTCAGAGGTACGGAGTGCGCATAAGCTTGGCGTCGGTGACTTCCCCTTTCTGGGAGAAGAACTCTCTCAGACGGTCCTCTGCCACATACTTGGGCAAGTTTTTCACACATATCCATGACCTTCCAATCAAAGATAATTAAAAAAAAAAATCAATTTTGAGCATTGGGGCTGAAGTGAAGCGGGAAGATAGAAAGGAATAAAATTACATGGTTGGTTTATGTTTATATTCTTTAATACCGAGATACTTCAACCTTTTTAGGCAATACTGCATCATTTTTAGCATGACAGAGTTGTAATATGAGGGCATGCACATCCAATACAGTTCCCTGAAGCAATAATCACAAGGGTAAGGCACTCGTTTCATAGTAAAAGACAATGGACATAAAATTTCTCCTATTAGCAGCCGAGAATAATACCTGCAGGTCCCTGCAAACTGTCACTGTTGTATCAATAGAATCAAACTCTATGAAACCAAACCCCATGGAAACATTTTTTCCGTTCTTCATATGCTTCTTCACCCACAGTAGCATATAGAATGAAACTCGTAAAAGCAACCATATAGAGAAG